ATGAGTCCTTGGAAGGAAATTGAACAAGGAGAATTTCAGGGCTTAATTCACTGCTAGTATATGATACTAGCTACTGTTGAGCTGAGCATGGCAATTAATTCATGCAAGTTGTAAGTTTACCAGCAGTCAGCATTTACCTACAGAGACAATCTGGAAGTGCAGAAAAGTCAAGGCCGTGACTACGAACATGATTGTGCTTAATGTTAATTGCACGAGAAATCCAGTTGGCTTCAAAGGAACTACCCACAAATGTAAATTTGAGGGGTTACACAGATGTTTACAGAATCAGAATTCTTGTATTTCTTGCATATAGTTCTCCTTCAAGTGCTGTTCCATATGCATATTTCCACTAGGCCTGTGCGAAGCATTAAGTATTCGCTTCGGATTTGAATTTGGCCAATTTGAAGGGACAGTGATTCTATTCGGTGATTTGAATCACTGTCCCAATTTGATTTGGCTGAATCGGATCCGAAGATTCAGCCATAGACTAAACAGGCAGCAGTCCTCACCATGCATGGTGAGGACTGCTGCCTGTTTAGTCTATGGCCGAATCTCCAAAGCAGCGCTGAATCTTTTCTGAATCAATTAGGAGACTTCTGATTCTATTCAGACCTTTTAACTGGTCTACTGATTCAATTTGGATTTGGAGATTTAGTCGCCAAATCTCCTCTGACTCGAATCAGCTACTGAAGCATCCACAGCCCTAATTTTCACAGTGGGCACAAATACTCCTTAAGTTCTTGAATTTGGAGGCTTTTACCATAACAGAACCTGTATTGCACATACACATCCTGCCTCTCCTCGTGCTCCATGCCAAGGGCATGAATGGCAGTCTGCACTTCCCACTACACTTTTTCTCTCAATTGCCTTGGTTTGAGATACTTTTGTAGTCTGTTCTGAGTGCTTTTGGTCTAAAGCCTCGGAAAGCCCATATGCTCTCATTTTTATCTTACTTTTGTACCCACCTCAACACTTAATTTCTTGCTCACTTTATAGTTTTGGTTGTATTCCTTTGGTCTCTGTTGTCCTTTTCAGTAAGACCTTATGTTTTCCTGCCTGTGCCATTTGGCACTTCAACCATAGATAAGTAAGGGTGGAAAGGACCTCAAGAGATCATCTAGTCCAATCAGGGATTGAATCTGCAACCTTGGTGTTATTAGCACTAGGCTCTAACCAGCTGAGCTAACTTCTATAATTCATTTTCTTCTTCACATCAACGCTGTTTTGTAATTTTTTTTCTCCCAGAATTTTTTTCTTTCTTGCCAAAAATCATGTATTCCCTAGATCTCCAGGATTTAAACTCTGTCCACACTGCAGTGCTGCAGATCTGCATATTAGGAATCTTTATGGTTCAGCTGACCCTTGCATCCCTAGAAAGTGCTCCATTTGGAAATCTTTCACTTGCCACTGTAAGGAGCACAAGAACAGGCTTCATTCCGGGTAAGTCCACAGTGTTGGCTAGTGATCCAGAGCACACAAATCTGGTGGGTAAAGACTCTTTAAGGTCGCCACTTCTCTGTCAATGAGACAGTCTTCCTTTTCCACACCTGAAAAGCCTCTTGCTAGGTATTGCTCCAGAAGGAGGTCTCTGTCCCATGGCTCTTGAATATACCATCATCTTTTCATACCTCCCATTCCAAGATTTAATGGCCCTGTATGGATCCTAATGAAATTCAACATCATTCTGGCATTGATACTCTGATATACCATTACAATTCCATAGAAATCACTCCAGCTGTACCAAGAAAACAGACAGGTGGCTGAGGCATTCCTCAGCATTACTTCCACTGCCCATTCATGGCAGATCTATTGCTTTGGTTCCAACATTGTGAAACTCCATTTTGCACTTCTCATGAGTTAGCCTCAATCACTTCTAGCTTCCTATCTTATCCAGCAGTATTGACATCTTCACCACCAGTCTACTTCATGTCTCCACACAGCTTGGCAGCCAGAGCCAGAATCTCCTCTGTTCTCCATACATCCACTGGCTCTGGTCCCATTTAGGGAACTGTCCCAGTTTTGGGTCCTTCATTTCTTCATTGGATTCTTCTTTCAATTCCAGAGACAATCAGGGTTCCATACACTCAGGCTGTATCAAAATATGGTACTCCTTTGAAAGGATATCCTAGTTTCTAGCCAACTGCTTTAAGAATATTTCTTGCCCTTCCATTTGTGACTCTTCTAGCCTTGGGCTTCTCATCCAGAAAGTGACACAACCCCACTCTCCTCTTCTTCCCCTAATGCAGCTGTCATTCAGCACCTTATATGGACAACTTCAGAGGTGTTTGTGACCATTATGAGATGTATTTCCCAAGTGCTGCAAATCTCTTTGGAGGAGTTCTCTCTCAGACTGGTAGAAATATTGCAACAACCTGCTTCCAAACAGGTGGCTGTTTCTGAGTTAATGAGGCCTTTAAAGATCCAACAAAGATCTTTTCACAGCCATTTGAGAGTTGAGGCATCGCTACAGTTGACTGATACAAAAAGTCTTGTCTTTCTTACTGTCACAGGACAAAGCTTTCATGTCCTTGACTGAAAGATCCAAAGGTACAGCAGTTTCAGCCTAGAGGCTTTCCAGTTGACACTGCTTTCTGAGGCCTCTAAAGTAGATCTGCCAACAGTGATCATGGACAGCACTCATTCTTCCTGAGCACTAGCTACTTCAGTGTCTTCTACAAGAAAATCTCTGTACCTGACATCTGCAAGGCAGACACCTGAAACTCCTAAACACACCTTTACAAAGCACCATGCTATTGCAAAAGCCTGAACTGTTGCTGCATTTCATAAAGCAGTCCTAGGCAATGTTTACCTAGGATTTGAAGTCAGTCTGCAGGGGCTCTAATATGCTTACTGCTAGGGCAAGAGCCTCCAAGATCAGGTGCTTGAAGCAAAAATATCTGGAAATGCATCAATTACAAATCCTGAGGTTTCTAAGTATAATATAATAATGAACACACATTACATATGAAAAATTAAGACAGACATCCAGGAGAAGTTGGATGTGGAAGATAAAACCAAAAAACACACACACTTTTGTTTATTACTAAGACTAAAAAATTGATATTGTGCTTCTGCCCTTCAAAGTAATATTTGGCAAATATTATCTAAACATTAATTCTCTCAGATTTATTAACATTATTTTAGAGCTTATTATTGTTAACCCTTCAGAATATGATTGTGGTTTTAATGACAAATTTTAGACAGTCCTTAGTACTTATCATTAATGAAGAATTTTTTACTTGTATGTAAATTAAAAATTGCATTTAGAAGATCTGTTGTATTGCTTTACTATTTAAGTTGCTACAGTGACCATTGTGAGGGTTTATTTTTATAATAATTAACATTTAAAACAATTGTTTACTGGTCTAGCCAATTGTTTTTTAATTATTTCTACTGTTTTACTTGTATTAAAAAAATATTTTTCAGTGTGCTCTCAGACCGCAGTTGTCTAAGACTTTCAGCTGGACCACCCTCTATGGATCTTGATGCCAATATTCAGAGGACCTTGGAGGACAGCCTAGCAACAGAAGCCTATGAGAGGAGAATAAGGCGACTAGAACAAGAAAAACTTGAACTTAGTAGAAAACTACAAGGTAAAGTAATTAAAAGAATTATTTTATTACTTTTTAGATGGATGAGAGCACAGTTTTGTGAATTGTATTTAATACTAAAGGGAAAAAATAATAATATATTCCCTGAAATGTTTCATATTGGAATTTTTTTGGAAACATAATCCACTTTATGATGTCTATTGATAAATGAAATATTTTATTATTATTCTCCATTGTCCCACTTATGCCACTTATTAAAAGGGGCTGAATTTGCCAGAGCAATGATATTATATTGAGTGTAAAGACTACAGTCTTAAAATATGGAGGAAAAAAAATCTAGATTTGTACATTTGGCCCCTGCTGAATAAGTGTTCACACTTAGCAAGTGGAAATTGTAGGATTCAGTTTCAATCCTAGAAAAACTTGTGCACATTATTATCTTTGTATGAGAGTAATGATAGTGTTGGAGTGAAGTTGCAGCCATGATTGTCCAGGAATTATGTGAGGCTAGGATTGTTGTGGGTTATATCTTTTATTGGACTAACTGTATGGTTGGGATAAATTTAGACAAGCTTTCAAATGCAAGGCAGTCTTCACCAGAGCTGAGCACACTGAGTTTTTATGAAAGTAATCTTTTTTATGTCAGGGGGCTACTCACCGTATTGGGCCATATCAAAGTTTATGGACAACTGGGGAAAGCTGTTAAACCAAAATTACCAAAGAACCCTACAAACCAATGCTCATTGGTGTGAACACAAGATACAGCATGTTGCTCTTTCTTCTTTTGGAAAAGTGAAGATTTTTTTCTTCTTCTTAAGGTCTTTTCAGGCTTTCAAATATATGGATTGTTTGGATTTTCTGAAGGAACCCTTGTTTCTTTATTTTTGTTCTGGTTTCCTGCTTGCGTATGCTTACACAGACACATTTTGTAGCTACAACTCAGGCAGCAGTGTTGAATATCTTGACTTCCAATGTGTTTGCTTAATGTGTCTCAGCAGACACGCTTCTCTGCATCTCTTCACTTATCAATAGTATCACTTCATGACTCCTTAAGCTGTCAGAAAACTGTATATTATCTCATGGTCTTGTTGTTTGTTCTTAGAGTCAACACAGACAGTCCAGGCTCTACAGTATTCAACTGTGGATGGTCCAATAACAGCAAGCAAAGATCTAGAAATTAAAAGCTTAAAAGAAGAAATTGAAAAGCTAAGAAAGCAGGTAACAGGTAAGTCTTAAGTATTTATGGTAAAATTGTCAGTGGAGAAGACACATAATGTAAAAGTGATGAATCACAAGGCACAGTTGATTTTCTTTATAGAGAAAAATGTTCTATTTCAATGTAGTACTGACTTCCCAAGAGTTTATCAACCTTTTTTGCATGCCCATTGTAATCTTCTGTGACTCTCTACTGGACGTCATGCGTGCGACTTCCGCTCGAGCCTTGCTGTGGCTTCTTCGGGACGAATGGGCCAGTCGCCGGGTGACTTTGTGGTGATGCACCAGGAGCCTAGCCTGCCACGTCTTTGATGATTGGTTTATTTCAATTGGGAGGATGATGTTCTGGTCCTGCCTCCCCTGATACTTCCCCCGGGTCGCTCCCTTCGCAGCTCTTTTGTGGGGCTCCGCCTCCCCTACACCCCGCCTACTGCCAGCCATGATGGAACCATTCATCATTGAGGATAGTGTTCCGGGTTTTCGTCATGCTCGAGTCCACCAGGTCTGATGGCCATAGTGACGCTGCCTTTCCTCGTGGGCATCTCTGGTGGCCCTCTTTCTTCGTCTGTGTAGCATCCGTGCTTGGCACCACCCGGTTCTCTGGTGCCTTGCCCCTCTTCTGGGCTTGGATTTGGTTGTCTGTCAGCTACAGCTGACCTGCTGTGCCACTGCGTTCCACTAGGCTCCAGTCTTTGTCGGAGGTCAAGGCTGTCCACAGTGCCTCTGTGGATGGTGCCTCTGATCTAGGCTGCCTATGAAGTCCTGGGGCGACCTCTTCTTGGGGTGCCCACCAGGGCTTTCCTTGTGGATTTCCCATGGGCTCTCACCCTCCCTGCTGCACTGGGGACTCCACTTCCGGTCCCTCAGGTTGGTGTTCCACCAGGCTTTTTAGCCCAGCTCCAGGCATCTGGCCGGCCAATCGGCCCCGGCATGCCTGTGTAAAGCACAAGCCGATGCAGGAGCTGTTCCTGGCTACCTCTGGCTTGTCCGCTTTTTCTCTCTTTGAACTGTATCCATGGCGGCTCTGCCCACCACAGTTTCACTTTCACTGGTTCGCTCCTCCGGGCAGCATCCCGCCACCTCCTGGCTTCATAAGGTAAGCCTTTTTCACACCCATCTTCAATGCAGTGTTCAGCAGCTACTACTGAGGAAAATGTTTCCTTTCTTTTAAGTTCTGTCTACCAGCTTGTACACACTTGCAGCTAAGACCCTGATTTTCCTTATGCCTGGTTTATAGGGTTGTGCAAAGCGGGCCCTATTCGATTTGAATTCGGCCCAAACTGGGGACAGTAATTCAATTTGATTCGTTGATTCAGATCATTGTCCCTGATTCGATTTGGCCGAATCCAAATTTGAAGATTCAGTGCTGATTCAGAGAATCAGCAATTTGGACATACACACAGCTTTAAATGTTTTTTCTACATACCTCGAGGTACTAGCATGGCTCGTGAACACTGTGATGTTGGGGCAGATGGAGCGTCCCACAGCAGCGCAGAAGGGGCCCCAGTGTGGTTGGCGGTGAACCTGGAAGTGGACTGGAAGTACTTCTGGGCAACTCCTGGCTTGGTGATTGGCCAGAGGGGGACCCCAAGTTCCCCCCCAAACCCAAGAGGTACCAGTCGCTGAGCTGGGGGCTTGCGAGGGGGGCCCCCCGCGTGCTTTCTGGTGGACCCGGAAGTGGACCGGATGTCCTCTGATTTGATTCGGATTCGGAGATTCAGCCACCAAATCGGGTCAAACCTCCGCCGAATCAAATCAGGGACCAAAGCTTCACACAACCCTACTGGTTTATGCTGGGACAGCTGTATTAACTTAAATGAAGTTGTCCCTTATTTGTGCCAATGTGAATCAAGCCCTAAATGAGATTCCAGGAAAACACTAGTTTTTTGCATGGTACGAATGTTTCCTACCAGTATTCTTCAGAACCAAATTAAAGCTTTCACTTGGTTTAATTGTTATAGATAATAGCAAAATAGCGCTAAATTTATTTTTAAATTTTTTTGTGCAGAATCACAGGCACATAGACATGTGTAGACAATGGCACGTCTAACCATGCATGCCTGTTCTATGCTGCATTAATTTATGCAGATAATAAAGTGTTTTGTAACTTTTTACTTCCACAATCTTGCTTATGTTCATAAGCACAAGAAGGCTGATTTTAATTTTGGCCTGCCAGCCTTAAAATGTTTTAAAAATTACAAGTGAGTCTAATTTATACTGAGATTTAAGAAAAAGGCATCCTTTTATCCTTCCTATAGAGTTATTGGGTGCTGTAGCAGCTTGTACTGTATTCCTGAATTAGTTAAATTTGGATATTGAGATTTCAGACAGCATCAGCTGTGATCATAATTCTGATTATAGTCATACTTATTTGCTTTAGTATATGTTTAGGATCAAGTGTGTCAGCCAGTGTGCAATTTCATAGTTTTCTTTACCACTTGAAAGTGCATCCAGCAGTTTGGCTGCAGCAGTGGAATAAAATTAAAAGATAAGATTCTTTTTAAAAAATCTGAAATAGAGTTTTCCTAACATGCAGATATTTTCTGAGTTCAGTTGTATAGAAATGCTTTTTCTGGACAAAGCAAGTGGAGACAGAAGAATGAATCAAATAATTATGACAACTGGATCCTATTGTGGGAGCTGGGGGAGGTAAAAATGTCATATGATTATTTGTGTAAAGCACATATCCAGGTTTTAGGGATGAGGCATAATTTATGAAGAGTGCTCTGTTCTATGGAAAACACAACCTGTTCCAAGAAGTGAGCCCAAGTTAAATTCTGGAATCCAGCTCCATCTTCAGATTCAAGATTTTGAGATGGAGATCTTGTATCTGATGAATGGATACACTTGTTGTTGCCCTTGGAAGTTCATCAGCAGTGACAATGACACATTCTAAATGACATTTCTGTGTCAGCAATTGAAAACAAAAGAACGCTTTGAAACAGCTAACCTCCAAGAAATTGTATTTCCCACTGCCTGCCTCTGCACCCTTCTCGGTCTAATCGGTAAGGAGGTAGTTTTAAATAAATCTGTGCACCAACATTCCCTAATCTGAAAAGTCAAGATTCAGTTTTAGATCCAACATTTTGGATACAAAATTGTTGGATCAGTTTTGTCTTAATTTTTTATTGTGATATTACTTTTTCATTCCTAATTTTTATATCACATCTACAGTTCCGTAAGAAAAACATTAAATTATGTCACTGTCTACTTTATTGTTCAAATTATAAGTTGACCCTTCATACAAGTCAACCTCACATTTTCAGTTTTGATTGCAAGAAAAAACAGATTTTTACTGGATATAAAGTAGCAACTGCTCCTTAAAAAAAATTTCCCCTGGAACAAAACACAAGATCATTTTATACCATCAACCAGAACACCTAATATCACTGTGATTCTTATCTTCCTTGTGGTTTTCACAAGTACAGCCTTGGCACCTTTTGTGTCCTCAGTAACTTGGACAACATTTTAAGTACCCAAGTGTCTTGCCTGCATTTCCAGTTTCCCAGTAATTTAATTGTGGGATTTTCTAATATGAATTGTGTCATTTAAAAACAATTAGTTCTGCAAGGACCAATTGAATTTCAGGTGTCACAATACAATTACAGCCTGACTGTCAGGAGCAGTTATCATAAGTCAGCCCTGCAAAGAAGTTGAGTATGATAGTTATGTTTCTTTTGGAGAACAAAAAGGTCAGCTTAACAATTAGAACAATGAATTAGTTTTTTGTAATTCTTTTTGCTGGTGTATAACAGTAAATAGTTAACAAATGACCTCTGCACATTGCTGTTTGCATCCTGTGATGCTGGTGTACAAACAAAACATAAGTGTGTTAGCATAGGCTTTATTAGAAATGCAGAAAAAAGAATGGGCATTTACCAAATGCTTAAGGATTAAGGGCCAACAGCCCATTATAAACCTAGCTATTGAGGAGGTACATAATCAGAAAACCAGTCAACTAAAATTGCCAGCCATCTAGTGGACAGAAGGATCAGAAAATCACTCAGATGTCTTAAAGGATGCTTGAAGGGGAGGAAGGTTGTACCTATATGATTTCATCCCCCTTTCCCGACTCTAAGGAAGTCTCTGTCAAAGAACTCTGTATAGTTTGGATTCCGCACAATCCTGGTCAGGAATGAATTTTTCTGTGTCATACTTTCTCTTGGGGAAAACAGTAGGAGTGCATTATATTTTAATGCTAATGTTGATCCTGACTGAATTGATGTTAATTTATGCAGAGTCCCCAGCTTGTTCTGGTTTCTTTACTCCCTTGCAGATTCCAGCTTCTTAGCTGCACAGCTAGGGTTCTCAATAACTGCTGCACCGCTTGCTGTTCCATCCTCTTGAGCTTCAGCCTATGAAACCTTGTGCTATGTATAAATATATATATATATGCTCTGGTTAGTCTAAGGCCCCTGACAGATGTTACACTTAAGACATGATTGACTGCTTAATCATGTCTCAAGTAGTGACCTATCATCCATTCAATCAGTCAATGTTGTCATAAAATGAGGAATAAGCCACAAAGTTATTACACGAAATATGTATATTAGCTTTGTGGCGGGTTCTTATAATGCCTTTAACTGAACCTGGGGCCAATGCCCAGCCTCTGGAGCCTCTTTCAAGATTCCCCTGTGCACCAGAGGCTGGGAGGCCCCTCAGCTGATCCAGACTTCCAGCTGGGGACCAAACCATGCGTTCTGCTGGATGGGAGCTCCATCAGCATTCCCCCTACTAGGGGCCCAGTCAGATGATTAGGGTCCCCAGCCAGGGGAGCACATGGGAGCCCCATTCGCTTACTGGCATTCCCAGACCAGGAATACACCATGTTCTGCCACAGATGGGAGCCCTGGTCAGATGATAATGATGCGCACCCCCAGCTATAAGTCAAGCTTCCCTAAGGTTGCACTTGCACTGGCAATATGATGCCATGGGATCTGATGACACAATCACACCTCCTGCCATGTGTGTGTGACATGGCAGAAAACGTGATTGTTGAGATCCTGCATC